TTCCTGTTCTCCTCCCTCCCCCCCCAAGTGCCTTGGTTGATATTCCTGCCTCATCAAATTTCCCCTCTTCAAAGTAAGTAATTGTGAAAGTTTCAAGGCTGCAGTGTGATCAGTGTACATTTGTAAGACATCATGTGAGAGCATAATTGGCTGTGAGACTTTGCCAACAGCCTGTCATGTATAACGATTTGTACACGTGAGTTCATGTATGGATGTGGTTGTGGGTACCAGAGAGCACAAGTCTTCCCGTGAAATCAGACGTCAGAGAAGAGGGACTGGGGATGAAAATACAATAGGGCCATTCAGAAACGCTGACTGACAACATAATAACAGAGGCTGAAACACCTCACTCAGTGTTTTACACCTCGGTTTCATTCTGAGTTTGCTAGCAGAGGTGACCTCCCACTATCTCACCTTAGACCAGTGATAACCAATCTTTTTGGTTGGCCAACCAAACTTTTCTTGATGGAACATTTCTTAAATATTTGAAGCGCTCTGGGACGCTACCCTGTGTGAGCGGCCCTGTATAAATGCAAATTGTTGTTCTTCTTGTTGATTTAGTTGGGAGTTGAAAGTCTGATTCGTGCCAAATTATCAGTTTGTAATGCATTGTTTTTGTATGGATCATCAGGTCAACTCCTCTCTTCTCCACACCTCCCCTATACATACTATCTCCTCTCCTTTATCCCCTTCCTTTACACCTAAGACATACTTCTTTGACCACTATTTTTGGTCATCTTTCCCCTTCACACCCCAGCTGTCGTGTCTAGCCAGCAGTGTCAAGTGATGTCCTGCAAAAATGTAAATTCTGTGGTTACCAGAGGCCACAGTTTGGGAGAATCAAAGGCTCTTAACATGTAACTCAGCTTTGCAGTATTCAAAAACGTCAACTTTTAAACTTAAAATGAGTTAAAACTACAGCGGTGAGAGGTAAATATTGGTTCCACTTATTCAGTTCAGGTGTGAGCTCATGGAATGAATGTATTAAATCGGCACATGTTGAGTAGTGGAACTGTTTTTTTTGGTGTCTGGAACTGTGCAAACATTCAAAGTTCAAATACTAGCTTGTTATCCTAATAAGTTGTCATTGAGATTAATTTCAGTTTTGATGAGGAAGGTTGTGCGGTCAGACCCATTTTTTCACTAATAGGTCACTTAGAACAGTACATGCAAACCTGTTTCATAACTTGGGCCAATCGATTTCAAGCTTGTTGAAATAAAGAGATTTATTTCTTTATGTTTTAACCAATCTGCACACAAAAAAATTACATTACTTTGAATACCAACTGATGCACATCAGCCATTGCTTTTACCTCTTTTTCTAAAGAGGGATTGAAAGCTTTCTGATTGCAGAGTGACGACTTGTGCCTTTGGGGTCCAGAGGCTTGGGGGAGAGAAAGCCAATGATTTGTATTTTTTTTTAGAAATCATTGTACTGTGATGAATTCTCAATAGTGGATTGGAGCGGTCAGGAGAATTTCTTTTTAGACAGCAAATTCTGAGGACGTGGGATGCCCTACCAACTAAATGGTGGTTGAAGCAGGATTCACAATAGATTTTGAAAGAGAATTCAGAGAAATATTTGGAAAGGAAATTATCAAAACAAAAGATAGCGTAAAGCTCTCTGCTTCTTCTTGATAGAGTGCAGATCCATGGGGGCTGGTTGCCTTGTGTAACCGCCCATGGGGGGCTGGTGACATGTGGTTTGAATCCACACCCACTTGACCCAGAGGCACACGTGCTACCAACTAAGACAGGCTGACACCTGTGTCCAGTGCCCACAAGTGCTTCGGGAAGCTACCCCGCATGAAGGGGGCTATATAAATGCAAGTTGTTGTTGAAAGAGAAAGATTGGTTAATATCTGGGTGTGACCCTTCCTCACAAGAATAATAATAGACGCCATCCGGCATGGGGGGGCGCTATATAAATCCAAGTTGTCGTTGTTGTTTTAATAATAATCCTTGCATTTGATATAGCGTCTCAAAGCACTTACATACTGCAAAGTGAATTGACTGTGTATTTTATGGGTGAAAAGCGGCAGCCAGTTATAGTCATGTAGTCAAATAGTCATGAATTGAAGCGACCAATTTTTTTTTGAAGGAATTATTACCCCCGGAAAAGCAATCCACCAATCGACTAACAACTGGGTTCCTACTTACTGCTAGGTAAACAGAGGCGTGTGGAGTAAGGAAACTCACCCAACATTTCGTCCTGCCGGGAATCAAACCCAGGTCTCTGCTTGTGAGGCAAGTGCTCTAACTGCTGAGCTACACGACTCCACAGCTGGAGATGGTGGCTAGAAAATCCACTTTACAGTATATCCTGTGAAGTACTTCTTGAGATCTCTCAATAATGTAAAAAGCATTCTATCAAATGGAAGAATGATTATTATTATAAATTCAGCTGTAGTTCATAAATTGGAATTCCATTACATCTTCTCAGTGTGTGTTTTCTTACTCTGGTCCTATTTGCCCACCTCATTCTTACAAAAGGGTTTCTCCAGCCTATTTTCTGTATTTATTCAAGATTTCTAGCACCTGTATTTTCCCTTTATTAATCTGATGGTGGGGGGAGGGGGCTGAGGGGGCAGGCTTAGGGGTTTGGGGCAAAGAACAAAGAGGCAAGCAGCAAGAAGTGAGTTATTTATAACCAGTTCTTTAGGTTTGCCATGTGATGCATCCTTCTCAGAATTTATTGTATGGCTATTGTTTCAGAGACACTTGATGGATATCAGGAACACTTAAATGGCAAGTTATAAATGTAAATAGTTTCAGGAATCTGGATCCTTTGTTTTCCTGAACTACTTGGATCACTTCACAGCAAATTGAAACTTGTTGAGAAAGATGCTCTCGGCTAGAGCATTGACAAGTGGAGTCATGCAAGAACTTGCTGACATCAGTCAGATGACTTCTTAATAAAACGCCGTGAATCCACTGCATTCGTAGCAGTGCTTTCTTCCAGAGCAGGTGTGTGCATCGCGGCAGTGCAAGTTCTCTCAGCTCGTCTTTTTAACCCGCAATGAGAGAGCTACAAGCGACCAAAGTGTTTATTGTCTTTTACCTGTATGACTACATTGCAGGAGCCCAGCTCTCCTTTCAACATGATGTCCACGGTCAATTTCTTGGTTTATTTAAGAACAATGTTCCCAGTTCAGGAACAACCTGAACGGAAACTGCTCTGGTCAAGGTCACAAATGACATACTGACCATGTGTGACCAGGGTTCCCTCTGCCTCCTCGTCCTCCTCGAACTCTCCGCCGCCTTTGATACTGTGGACCACTCAATCCTCCTCCACCTTCCACCTCAACCTTCAAGGTTTTGTCCTTGACTGGTTCAGGTCCTACGTTTCACGCCGCCTCCACTTCATCGCGGCAAACGGCTTCTCCTCCAGCCCCAACACCGTCTCGTGCAGCATTCTTCAGGGCTCTGTCCTCGGTCCGCTCCTCTTCACCCTCTACATGCTCCCCCAAGGTGACATCATCTGCAGACATGCGGTAAATTTCCACATGTATGCGGATGACACCCAACTCTATCTCTCTGCCTCCACCCTCAACTCCAGGACTACTGACATCCTGACTGACTGACTGACTGACTGCCTGTCCGACATCAAGTCCTGGACAAGGGACAACTTTCTCCAACTGAACGTCAGCAAGACTGAGGCCCTCCTGATTGGCTCGCACCAGCGCCTCCTTACCTCGGGTGCTGGCAGCATCAGCTTCCACGGTTGCACACTCAACCTCACTAAGCCAGTCAGAAAGCTGGGTCTTTTGTTTGACCCTGAACTGTCCTTTCTCCCCCACACCCGCACTGTGACCGGCACTGCCTACCACCTCCTCCGCAACATTGCCAGACTCCGCTACTGCCTCACCCCTCAGGCTGCCGAAACCCTCACCCACACATTTGTCACATCAAGGCTCGATTATGGAAACTCCCTCCTCAACGGCCTTCCCAACTCTTCCCTTCACAAGCTGCAGATCATCCAAAACTCTGTAGCTCGTGTACTCTCACGCACCAGGCTCCGTGACCCCATCACTCCCACCCTCGCCCGACTCCACTGGCTCCCCATCCCTCAGAGGATCGAATTCAAGATCCTCATCCTCACTTTCAAGGCCATCCATGGCCTTGCCCCCTCCTATCTCTGACCTGCTGACTCCCTATCAACCTGCCCACTCCCTCCGTTCATCGGGCTCTGGCCTGCTCCATGTCTCCTGCCGACCTGCCCTAACATCAGTGGCTGGGCTTTCAGCCTCTCTGCCCCCACACTCTGGAACTCCATTCCACAATCCCTTCGCCTCGCTTCCTCCCTTGCCTCCTTCAAAGCCAGTCTCAAGACCCTCCTCTTCGATCGTGCCTTCAGTCGCCCTCCTACCTCTCTGCCTTCCCTCACCCCGACCCCACCCCTCCCCCATGCTCGGGTCCTGACCCCTGGCTGTCCAGCACCTCGGTGAAAGACGCTCTATAAATATAATTTTGTTGTTGTTGTTCAGCATTTATCTTGTACACCCGCTTTTGGTCAGAAAACGCTGAGTGGAAGGAAGAGTTGCTCTGTGCTCATTGCACTGTGAAGAATTGCTTAATGAGACAGACTGATAAGTGGCTCACTTATCAGCTTCCCCATTAGCAGAAAATATCAGTGCTGATTTAACGTTTTGTGAAGAAAAGTTTGACTGGTGTTAACTTGGAGTGTGGGGGGAGGCAAGAGTTCTGAATGGCTAGGAGAGCCATGGCTCATTTTAATTGTGATTATGTATCATGTGCAAGTGGCACAGTGATGTCCTTTTGGTGCGGTTTACATGGTCAGATATTTTTATACTGGGCTCAACAGACACTTATTCATGAGGATGGCACCCCCCTTTAAATATGTGTGGAATCTACTGGGGCATTGATTGGAATGTGTCTGGAATTGATGAATGGCTGAGTGTGCATCTTGGGATTTCTGTCCTGACTGCTGCACAGTGTGTGCTTCTGTTACTCACAGTGACATCTGCTTTCTTCCAAAGGACGGATCACTGGGTAATATTGACGACCTGGCTCAGCAGTACGCAGACTACTACAACACCTGCTTCAGTGATGTGTGTGACCGAATGGAAGAGCTACGCAAGCGCAGGGTCTCTCAGGACTTCGAGCTGGTAAACGATCTTGAATCAGTAAGTAACCTTCTCACCCTCTCGAACACCTTCAAAGTGCTCTTCGGGAATGGAATATTTGGGGATGTGTAATATTGCTCTGAGAGAAAATCAGAATAGCATTTGATGATGAAATTAATTTATTAAGCAAGGTATCAAATTTGATCTGAAATGTTAAGGAAATTAACCAATGTTTATGCATTGCTCAGTTGTTGGTCCCTGAAGTTCATATTGACGATCCTATAGTGTTTTTTATTCCCCTGTAGTTCTCAGTAGAGCTAGGGATATTTATCTTTGAGATGAATCTCTCAGTCCGTCAAACTCTGCACGACAGCCATATTGTATGTGTTGATTTTGGTAATCTAGCACCCTAGCTTAGACCTTGGGCTTAGGATCCTCTGCAGTCTCTCCAGGGCCTCTCTGCTACTCCCTAGCTGTGCTCCAACTGTAGGCTCACATGATCAGTAAGAAAAAATGTGGATATGAACGAAACTCAGTAGGATCTAACTTGTCACAAAGAGATTCCTTTAGTATCAAACATGAATTCAAATCACATTTCCCCAGTCCCACACCATCACACACACTCACTAACTTCATTGTACACACCTGAACTGAAGTCAGGTCTTGAGTTTGTTTTCCTTAACTAAGGTTACAGATCACAGCTCTCTGGATGATGGCATACAGTATAGGAAAACCACTGTCCTGTCAGCCAGCAGTCACAATCCATGAGCTAGAAGGTGAAGTCCATCTAAGGCACATCTGGATCATTCTTATTCAATACTTAAAGAATATTTAAATGTAGATTGCAGGCTGCATACCAGTTATGGATGGGAGAGATCATGTCAGAGGAGAAAGTTGAAAGAGATCTAGGGGTGTTAGCCAATTCATGTCAAAACAGTGCAAGGAAGCAAAAAACAGCGCCAACAGAATGCCGGGCTAATTTACATAATCAGTCGAGTTCAGATCACTAGAAGTCAGACTGAAACTATGCAGTGCTCTGGTCAGGGCACATGTAGAGTACTGCATACAGTCTGGTCACCGCAACAGAAGGCTATAACGTAACTGCTCAAGTCCTATTCGCAGTGCAAAGGGGAGAAATGAGGATGATCCCCAGTTTTAGAGGAATGAGCAATGACGAATTCTTAGACAAGATCAGGGCTCTTCAGTTTTGAAAAGAGATATCTCAGAGAAGATTTAAGAGAGGTATATAAGATTTTAAATGGGATCAATAGAGTAAACTCAGAACAATACATTTGAATGCACCAAGACAGCAGAACAATAGGTCATTGGTTTAGGGTTGCAAATGGCAATTTCAGGATAGATACCCAGAAGTATTTCTTTACCCATAGGGTAATTAACCACTGGAATTGGTTATCAGGAAGAGTGGTTAAGGCCAGGACAGCTTTATGCTGTGATGAAAGGACAGTAGGGTGAGTATTCTGGAAGGATGAGATCCGATGGGCCAAAGGGTCATCTTCAACCATACCTCTCTTATAAATTTTTTGATTAGCCGGGTGTCTGAAATAAGGGAAAACCCATCATTGTGCTTAAGAGTATCCAAACCAGACTGAGTTTCATGCATGAACTTTCAGTCTGAGTCTCAGGATTTCTGAAGTCATTCTTGTTGAATGTCCAAAAACCTCAGAGAATCAGAGCAATCCCACAGGAGTTGCATATCCCAGCTCATATTTGTTCGGAGATTAAGCTTGTTTTTGGCATCTGAAAAAGTGGAGGAATTCCTCACTTCAAATCAGAACGGGGCTGTAGCCAAAAGAAGTTGAAATGACTTGATCCCACTCTTTTCTGTTCACGGACTTTGCGAGTTTATCTGCAACCACAGGTCTGAGCCTGTGGCTTAGGATCGAGTCCCGTAATTTTATCTTGAACTCTTTACCACAATCTGAAATGTCGCAACTGATTTTTAGTGTATCTGCTGAAATTTTTAATACATTTTAAATTTAAAATTTTTAATACATTTTATAAACATAATAGTGCGGCTGTGTGGGAGTGTGCATGCGTATGTGTGTGCAAGAGAGAGACTGAATTTGGAGTGTCTCCAACTAAATAGGAACATAATGTTGGACCAAAAACCCAAGGTGCTCCAGTCATATTGTCTTGTATTTGTGGGAGGGAACTTTCTTTGCTTTTGTGTACAAATGACTCATACTTCATACCCTGTCATCAGAGAATAGAGGTTGCAGAGCAGGTTTGTCGTTGCCTGCTCCCCATGAGGGCTTTCCAGAAGGTGGAGGAGGGTGGGTCTCTTTGGTGAAATACCCTTTGGTATCAGCTGAAACTTTGCTTCCTTGGAATCCACCTGCTCCATACAACTCGGAAACCATCTTTGTCATTGTACAGAGCGGCCAATATAAGAAATTTACACAAAATCTCTCTATGGTTAATCAGTCTTCCACTTAACACCTTGTTGCAAATTCATCTTCAGGAGCAACTGCCGACCTATGATTTCTAAAGATGTTTGCAACATGCCTGTGGGGATGGTAGGGAGGGAGGGATAGTCTTTAACTTAACCTGCTGTACGTTCTCACCGAAGTCTTGTATGCTCTTCTTTGCTGCAGCGACTTTCATGTTCTTTACTTACAATGAATTTTTAAGCCTGAATTGTAAATCTGGCCACAGGTACCAGACAAACATGTAAACCTCCTAGAGGGTAATGAGAGACAGGGGGTTCTTGTATCGAAGCTAATCCACAGTCACTACACTTCGCAATGAATGAGTGCTTTGAGAAGTCTCAGCGAAGGATTATTGTATGACTTGCCCAAGTCCCTAGTTATCTCTTGAGGGCTGCGAAAAAGCCTTTGGAGATCAAACCCCTGGGAAATGGGGACTAAATTCTGAAGCGATCTGGAAGTCTCACATGAGGCTTGCTAACTTTAGGCTGAATTTCCCTTGTCCAGCATTCATCTGCTTCTATTTACATTGTCGTGCTCTCAGGATTTTGAAGGCTTTCATCACATCCTCTGGAAGTCTCCAGTGACTCGATTTCTCAATCTTCTTAGTAACTTACAACCCTGATTTCTTTAAACATTTTTGTTGTTCTTTTCTGAATTCTTTCCAATGCATCAAGATCCTTCTGAAGCTTGAGTACCCAAAACAATGTTCTAAATGTGGCTGTAGCTGTAAACTGTACAAGGTTATAATTATGTGTTAGACTTGTTACCCAATAACCTCCAGATTGTATCTCAGTACATGATTAACCACTTCATAGTGACTCGCAACTTTCAATGAATGTTCAGCAATTGTATGCCAAAACCTCCTGCTCCGTGATTTGCCCATGGATTCCCATTCATCATTTTTCGTTACTTTCCCTGTTCATATCTTCATTACTTTTACCATTATTGAACTGGAATGATAAATGTGTTCACCTATAAAATACACAGTCACTACGCCTTTACAGTAAATCCTGTGGAGAACTGTGAAATGTCCTTCCAACATGAAAGGCATAGCAAATTCAAGGATCATTATTATTATTAGCCTCACTCCTTGTTCAGCTATTTGTAAAATGACCTAGTGTGTTGATTTCTAACAAGTTTACTTAATAAGTAATTCAAATAGTAACTCATTTCATTAACCAGACATGGATCACATCATCTCTGCTGTTATGATATACTTCTGGTTTCCTTACTAAGGATTCCTGTTAGAAATTGCCACATAATGTATTGGACTCCATTCTTTCTAATAAGTTAAAACTGCTAGAGTTTTACTATGAATTTTATTAGCTTTCAGTAAAATGAGCATCTTTCCAATTGACCTGGTCACACAAACTCATCTATAGTCCTAATTCATGTTTTGCTCCTGTTTTAGAGTTGGAAATGAGCCATATGTCAGCCCTATAATTATGGACCTCTTAAAGCTATTCAGTGACTCCAGTTTGAATCCTCCTTATCTGTAATATAATAATTGTAGCTACGGTACTATTTGTTCATATGCAGACTGAGTGATTATTTTCCCTTCTGAAGTTTATGTTAAACTGTGAAGCAAGGTGAAGTGGATTCATTTTGGAACAACTCTGTGATCTTATCTGGCAGCGATTTTGTGGCAAGCAGGATATTTGTGTTGAGTTTCACTGCTGTTCTGTTTGAGTGGTCGCTGGCTCCCTCATTGACATAAAACCTGTTGAGCATATAATCATCAAAACAACACATCTGAAAGTGCATTCTGTTGTGCTGTGAAGTGCTGTTTTCTTTAGAGTGCTGGAATTCAGCATTCCTGGGGACAGTCATCATTAAGTAGTGTTTACCAATGTTGCTTACAAATGCATGATGCAATGATGGGAATTGGGTCAAAAATATCATCGATTTGCTTGAGGATGACGGAACTATGCTGAGAATGGTCTGCTCGTCATCTGCGTTCTCTTCCTCCTCAAGGAACAACACAGACAGTGTCTCCGACACTATTTTTATGAAGACGAGAATCATTTCAGTCTCAGAAGCATGTCCTGATTTGAGGCTTTAAATGGCGCATTGTTTGCTCTTTGCAAGGTCTGTTTGTGTCTCATTTTCCAGTGCAATAGGCCTGAAGTAGCTGCAGTTTATCTCTGCCAAATGAGATGGGGGTTGCCTCCCATATTTTTGTGCACCTATTCATGCTCTACATCTTTCCCAGAACAAGTAATTAGTGACCGCTGGCTCTCAAAGGGCCCATATCATCTGGGTTTTGTCAGTAAATCAGTCAATTGGATGAAATGCTCAGTGACATGCCGACCTGCTTTGTTCCAGTAGCTTAAATGCCCCAAATGACTGTGCTACAGTTTTATGAGAGAATGGTATGAGGGAGTGGTTCCACAAACAATAACTCTATTGAACTGCAGGTATAAAATATCAGCCTTTTTATATTTAGTATTACCACGGCTTTGGCGATCACATTTGCCGTGAGGAGAATCCCTCTGATTTCCTCAGGGCAGGGCACTGCATCACAAATTTATGAAATACAATATTTTAGTTTAGTGTCACTAAAATGGAGTGAAGTTGTAGGAAATCAATGGAAAGAGCACAGTGCACTTC